CGACGCTCTTCCGATCTCCCCAAAACCCCAAAACCCCATATAACCTATAAATATAGGAGTGATCAGAAGAAAAAAATAATCTAAACCTTCGTAAAATATATTTATATTTAGAAACAGTCTAATTAAACTTTCAAGTTATTTTTAATCTTAATGGTAATTTCAGCAAAGAAAGAAAAAATGATTAAGTATCATTCTCTCAATGTATAGAACACAATTTCCAATAGAAAATTCTTTCAAATCGCTCTAATAATAATGATGACGATAGACGTGATTTAAGGTTAAACAATAGATTAGAACAAATGTTATTAGTGTCTGACAAACCAAGGGTCATTTTGCCTTTCTTAAAATTCTCAGAAATGCTGTATTAAAGGAGATATCAGCGCAGAGTGTCTAAGTTCTTCATGTCTTTCTTAACCTTAAAGCAGCCAATAAAAGCTGGAACTTGCAAAAGCCTTTCAAAATTTATTCTAATGCTCAAAATATTACCCTAGCTATTGTAGTCCAACTAAATTCAAGATCAGCGATAGCAATTAAAAATAATAATTCCTCATTAGTAATTACACTTAGGAATACTGTTTTTGGTCTGGTGATTCTCTAGATTCTGAAAATGCTGGAAAAGATATAGTGATTGAAGTCGATTCTCTCGATGATCAATCATAATTGTATGTTTATTATAGAATATTAAACTCAGCTCAACCTCTTTTAGTCACTCAACTAAACAGTACTCATAAATAATCTTGATTTGCTCACTAAAATTCTCTATATGTCTAACTAGTATTAGTTAGAAAAAATCTGTTTTTAAGCGATCCTAGTGAAATATTATAGCTCTCTACATCTTGGTAAAGGTCAAAGCAGACTTCTTAAGATGATAACAAGGAAAATTCTGGGATTATTGTGCTAATTTTGATTATTATTGGATCATTATTAGGGGTGTCCTGTCTGGGAGTTTTTGTATTCTATGTAACAAGAGCTATATTAAAAAGAAAAGAATTAAAAACTACATAAATAAAACAATAGGTATCATAGTAAGATGATGATGAGGATTCAGAAGTTGTCAATCCATAGTTGAAATCTAAATTCTCCAGGAAGACTACTTTACCTGGCAGAAGTTTTGTCTAGTCAGATTTGAGATCTATATTGCCTGAATTATATGAGCATGAGGATAACAGTGCAGATGTTACTGATGGGCCATTGAACTATTTTTACAGGAGTAAGACTCTTGCAAACAGTCATATATTACAAATCACAAATAAAGAAGGTAAACTATCAAGAATATCAACTAAGGCTGGACTATCTGCTTAGAAAATATAAGACTCTCAGAGAGAAGGGATTGAAAGAATAGGAGATTAGAAAACTGAGAGAGAACATAGAGCTTCAGAGAAACTACCTCGCACCCAAGCTAGATTGAAGATTGAAAGATCAAGTACAATAATGAATAAAAGACAAAGTTATGATTTAGAGGATCTGAGGTCTTACATTATGGAGGATATGATAAATTAAAATAAAGAAGTAAAAAAGAGATTAAGAGGAATGTCAGTAGTTTCAATTGAGTCTAATAATAGTTTAACCAAGCTACAAAGAGGAGTAATGTCACCTGAGAAACAGAGTGAAAGACAACAAACTATAATAAAAGAGGCCAATAGTGCAAATAATGGACAATCTGTTTTAAGCGATCCTAAATAGGCTGATAATAACAAAATATAAAAATCTTCTTTAGAGAATTTATAGTCAACCCAATCTTTAAACTAGAACAGCCAATAACATTTGAATAGTATGCATTCTGAGACTAACTTTGAATCCTAAAGCTCACCGACACTTCACAGTGGATAAAATCCTTAATAAGCTATGCGCAAAAGAGAGCTATTTATTAGGGTAGATTCAGACTAATAAATAAAGGAGGAAGTTGAAGACCAGGAAGATGAGATTCAATCTAAATAATCTTTTACTTAATCATTAATAATTGCCAACGAAGCGAATACATTTAGCCAGTAACAAAATACATTAAGCCTCAAAATTAATAGGATTGCAATAAATTCTGAAGAAAATGATGAGTAAAATGAACATAGTTTCAATGTAGAGATACAAGACATATTAGAGGGAAGAGAGGCTATTTACAAAGATTCAGAAAATGACTTGGGTAAATAGGAAGAAGAAATGTAATTATCTTAGAGCGAAATAAAACGGTAAAGAATCAGAAAGATATATCTACCTAGCTAAATAGACATAATTTCTGATGAAAATAAAAATAAAGATTAACCATAAAACCAAGTATCAGTTGAAGGCATTATTAATGAAGAATAAAATCTGGTTCTCGAAGAGAATCTAGAAAAGGAAGAAGAGTTGTTTGGAATGCATTAAATCTTTTATAATAAAAGGAGAAGAGGGGACTCAAAAGTAGATGATAATCAGGGATAATTGTCTATAGATTATGGCTTCGAATCAGAAGGTAATCAAGAATGAGATATTTATTTTGGATGATACTGTATAGGATTAACCAGAAGATAGGGTAATCATATATTATTAATCCTTCCAAATTCCTAGTAGAATAAGTATATTAATTTGAAAGTTTAATTCTTAAGATTTTTGTATTTATACAATATTTTTATCATGGGGTTTTGGGGTTTTGGGGTTTTGGGGTTTTGGTG